GGGGATGGGGATGGGGATGGGGATGGGGATGGGGATGGGGATGGGGATGGGGACGCTCCGGCAGGGCTCGGGGCAGCGTTTGCGGCTTGCTCATAGCCGAATGGAGTTCTCCTCTGCCGATTCTCCCCTCGAGCCTATCGCTGTGGGAAAGCCAAACCCAAAAATCCGACGTGTGCGGAACCGGAGGGAGAGCGGCTGCGGGGCGGCACCTCTCTGCTCGCGGAGCCGCGGCCGGAGCGCTTCCCACGCTTCTCGTTGTTGCAGAGGCGGCTTCTGTGACCGAGTTCGGCTTAAGGACAACCGAGCGGAAGGTTTGGGGAGCGAGAGCTGAGCGTGCACCGTCCGAACCCCCCGAGGAGCCGCGGGGACCTGTGAGCACCTATGAGAGCAGGTCAGTGGATGTTTAAACCGAAGGAAGCCAGCACGTGGCAGGAGGAGGCGTTCATTGCAGCTCACGGGGGGCTCTGCGTGGTTTTGCTGCTGCGTTGAGCCCTTCTCGGGTACGGGGGGAGCACACGGGGCTGCGTTGGGTTTTGTGTCAGTGTGTCACAGTCGACTGCTGTGCAGAGTTCCCACCTTGGGCACGGCTGCGAGCTTTGATGGTGCAGATGTTTGCGTCCGTTGTTTGTGGCTCTTATCGGTGGTCCCGTGAGTGACGGCTTTAGGAGGAGGAAAAGAGCACTGGGATCGGGTAGGGCTTTCACTGCGGTGGCAGGCAGGCTTGGCAAGGTGCTGGGCTTTCGTGCTTGCATTTAAAATAACAAGACTGAATTTGGAGGGGGGAACATCTCAGCAACGATTTTCCTGGTCCTCGTTCGGACCTCGCTGTGAACAGCACAGAGAAAGCAACCTGGCTTGGAGCAGATCCGGGTGTGTGGCTGGTTTAGTCCTCCATACGGGCTCAGGAGAGAAGCGTCTGTGTTTGTGTGTAACGTGAGAATAACCAGGGATTTATAGAAATAGAACATGAGTAAGAACTTCAAAAGCACCCAAATGATTTGGGCACCGGAATCATGCGGGCGCTCCTGAAAAACGTGTACCAGCCTTTAAACCATCCCTGTTATTCGCCCTGCCTGCAATTTGCTTCTCATTTTTGGTGAGCTGGACCTGCCCGACCCACAGCTCACGGTGTTGGCCTGCAGTGGGAGCAGCACAGAGCTGAGAGCAGCAATCCCTGCAGAGCCTTCAGCTCTGAAAGGTATTCCTGCACGATGCTGTGAGAGCCAAGAGGGCTCAGCTTATGGGATTTGGGGGGAAAAAAAAGGATTAGAAACTTGATATGGATAGCAAGAATCTCTAGAATTAATAGGAAATTAAATGAGGGCTTTGCAAGGGATATAAATCCGTGTATTTTGGGGCAGAAGCCAATCTTAGGATGTAGGGAGAAGCTTCACCTTGTGGGGAGTTTCTCCCTGTGCTGTTTGCTGGTGGGTTTGTTGCCTTGCAGCTCACTGTGTACGCAGCTGGTGTGGGGTCTTCTCCTCTTCTGGAAGAGCTTCTGGTTGAGCAGCACTGAGCTCAAACCTCGTGGCTGTGCGTTGCAGCAGCCTGGAGGTACCTGCATATAAAGCATATAAATCCCACGGGCTGCTCTCTGAGCTTATCATCACTGTTATACAGCAGAGTGACAGCAGGTGCTGAGCTTATTCCAGACAGCATCTCTTTTGGAAGCTCGTAGCCTATTGTTGCCAGCAGTGAGAAATGGCTGTGTGAGAAGCCAGAATCTCCAGGCTGGTGGCTGAGTTGGAAAGTGAAACCTTTTGGTTTGCTTGCTCATTGCCAGAGTCCCTAGGAGAGATGGGTGTGCGTGTGGCACACCTCCTGCTAAGCTTCCCCCAGGGGCACTCTGTGGCCACATGTATTCCTGCCGTGAGCTCACAGCTCTCTCTGAAATAAATAATCAAGTTTAAAAGTAATAAAAACCCAAGCAGCCCAATCCTGTAGAGAAGCCACTGGTAAGGAGCTTTGCCAGCATGTGTACCGAAGAAGCTGGTTCTAAAAGCATCACAGCTATGAAACAGCAAAGCAGCAGGGCAGGGGTTGCTCTTAGATGTGTGGGACTCCCTGAATGTGTTTCTATGAATGCTTTTGGGAGGTGGCAGCTGCTCTGTGATGTCCCTGCCTCACTCTGAGCACCTGAACCCAGAGCTGTTTGTGTTGGGTCCACTGAGGGTTTGCAGGTTGCTTCCAAGAACTGTATGAAAGCAAATGGAAACAGATCTGGATGCCCTGTAGGGTTTATACATGATGCTGCTAATCTGTACCACTCTTTATGTGTTGTTTCTATGGCTCTAGACTGGTTTAAAGTAGGTAGGATGCCATTCAGGAGCACCCAGGTGGGGTCTATTTCTTGTGCTGCTGTTATTTATCACTGCTTTAAGAATCTCTGAATCCAGTTTTGTGTTATAGAGCTGCAGAAAGTTGCTGATGTACCAACAAAGCCATTGAGCTGCTTGTTCTGAAGACATGGATACACAAAGCACCCATTTTATTATGATTTTACACGCGCTGTTCCTTGGAGGTCCTCAGATTTGTTCCCTCCTTGTTTTCATATCCTAGCACAGCAGTTCCTCTCGCAGCCCAAAACTATGAGTTTAATTTTGCTGTCCTGCACGAGAGGACGAGCAGACCTCATGAATTCTCACTCTCCAGTTGCTGCCTGCACACCGACAGGAGCTGCTGCCAGGCCGCCTCCAGGGCCTGTCCCACCTCACATTGGAGGGAAGCCTTGCTGGAGAAGCACATGAGAACGGCCTGTGAGGTCTGAGGTCCTTCTCTTCCATGCAGGGAGCAGGCTGGCTCTCCCTTTGCTCTGCTGGGAGCTGAAGTTCTCTGTGGCTGTTTGTCTCCAGGATTTAAGACTTAAGGAAAAATGCAAATATAATGAGTGCAGTGACTCAAATCCGTGCGAGATGTCGGCACTCAAATGACGTTAATGTTCTTGCAGAGCAGGCTAGAGCCAATTTGTGCACAGTTGAGGAGAGCATCCGGATCCTGCTTTGGATTTATGGGTTACGACTTTTGCTGAGATGGGGCATGCAATAAAACTCAGAAATTGCGCTTTCCTTACCCAGTGTTAGCAGCGATCCTGCTGGGATCTGACCTCCCAGTGCTCAGACCTCACACCCGCTGCTCTTCTGCCGTCTCCTCCCAACTACCTGCATTTTATTTATAGGAAAAAAGCAGACAAGTGGCTCTTTGCTCAGTGGATGTAGGTGTGCCCGCCCTGTCCTCTCCAAGGACACCAAGAGTTGCCTGCTGTTGAATTCACGCTGGCTGCAGAGCAGTGCTCTGTCTGGAGCTGCTCTGATCCTCTGCTTGGAGAGAGAGCACCCAACGTGGCTCAGTGATCCACAGCATCTGGGCCAACGTGCTGCTGCTGGATGTCCTCGCTCTGCAGCGCTTGTTGCTTGCGCTGCTCTCTGCAGGAAGTTCCTGCTTTGCTTGGAGCTGTGCAAACAGAATAAAGGATTGTTCCACTTGCAGAGAGAGCGCCCTTGTAGGTCTGGGTTGGAGGCAGCTCCTAAATACAAAGAGATGGAGCACAAAGAAGCAATGAGAGGACAGCAGCTTTCCATTTCCATGAGTACCAGGTACCGATGTGTGGTGACAGGAGGGGGCTTTGTGTGGGTGCTGCTGGATCCAAGAGGTGTGCTGTGACAAACAGCTGCTGTGTGCACGGCGGTGGGAGCAGCTGGAGCTGTGCTGGAACAAAAGGCTGCTGTGCTGCAGCCAAGGCCGGAGCAGCAATTATTGGGTTGGGAAGGGTGGCTTTTCCTGAGGACTGACTAAAACCAGGTTTGGGAGAGTGGCAAAATGTGGTCTGGAGGGGGGTCAGACCATGCAGGTGAAGAGAAGGGCGTGAGGGCAACTAGAGGGAGGGCAGGTGGGAAGGGTGCTTCCAGCTGTGAAGTCCCTCAGCCTTCAGGTATTATTCTTGCAACCTCAGTGCTTGAGATCCATCCATCCACTGGACAAACTGCTGGAGAATGTGCTGTTTGGGAGCAGCCCTGCAGCAGTGAATGATTCAACAGGGCCTCTTTCATCTTTGATTCCTGTGAACACAGTCTATGTTTGTGCTGTCCCTTCTTCCCCCCCCCAGATACTTCCATTCATCACTACCTGTGTCCAACACCGATAGCCACAAATGAGCCTTTGGGGCAAGAGCAGGGAATGCTGGCAATCCCCTCCGCTAGCAGGACAGTGCCACTGGGACTAGTTAGCACATGCTGGTGTGGAGCCAGAACAGCCGGGGTCGGTGCTGGTGATAACCCCTGTGTCCTGGCTCTTGCTGGGCATGGCAGCACCGTGTGGCCCCACATGAGTTGCCTGGAGCACCCTGCAGGGATAGCAGAGGTCCTTCTGCTTCATCTGTGGCTCGCTAAACTTTACTCCAGTAAACGTAGGCAATGTGGAGAGAATGATCCCACCTCTGCTTGGAGAGCCTGCAGTGCACGATCTCCCACTTAGCCTCTGCTGCTACAGCAAACCTTTTCAGCAAGTGCTGAGTAACTTTGGAGCTCAGATCGCCTCCTGCCCGTCCTCCCTGATGGATGCACTCCACACCAAGGCACGAATCTAAGCAACAGACGTTCTGCAAAACTCAGGAAGATTTGGACCTGAACTCCTCGCTGGTACCTGGAGCTGGAAGCCTGGTTGTAAGGAGAGGTGAGGGGTGCACAATGCTTTGCTCCATTTGCTGCCTATAGGAATTGCAGCTTTGAGATTTGTCTTCTCAGAAGGAAAAACCTCCCCTTCCTGATGGATCACAGAATTGTAGGGGTTGGAAGGGACCTCCAGAGATCATCGAGTCCAACCCCCCTGCCAAAGCAGGTTCCCTACACCAGGTCGGTGGTGCTGTGAGTTCTGCATGGATGGCTACAGCACGACATGGAATCCTTGCATGTGTGGAGTCCTTGATACACGAAACTGATCATGAGAATGAGGAAAGCAGAAGACTCCTGAAGTTCTCTCTAACAATCTCTCAGTGAAGCTTATCTGCTTTAAAAAATACCATCTGACTGCTTCTTATCTTTGTTGTTATCTAGACGGTTTCGGGCAGAAGTGAAAACGTAGAATCTCTCATTTTCAGACCCAAATCTCATGACTGGTCTGTTGTAATGAGGAATGACCTCTTGGTTGCTGACAGAGCCCATGCAGAGCTCTGCTACCCTGGGTGCATGGAAATGCTGCTGCTCCTGCAGCGTTGCAGCAGCTCGTTTGCCTCTCACGTGCTCAGGGACCGATGTGATGGACGGGGCTCTGCACTCACAGCTGTCCTGGGGCTGTTCCTCACACTGCAAAGGCTCTTTGTCTCATTCAAAGCCATGACCTCATTTTTAGAGACAGAAAACAGAGAGGGAGAAACCCACCAACCTGCCAGTGGGGGTC